CAAACATAAGCTCATATCGTTACACTCAGTACCTCATTATATATAAGAAAGGCATAGAAATTAATGCCATGGAGGGGGGGGGGGGCTCAAGTGCAATGTTTCCTCTAAGCTGTGGAGTCTTGTGAGCAAAAATTCTACTTTGTGAGCTACTGGCATTAAAGTCATGAGTGAGTGATTGGGCTACTGCATAAATTAGTTTGCTCTGGAGCCATCCTTCCTGAGCCAAGACAAAAATGTGTGAGCTGGATGCTAAAAAACTGTGAGCTAGCTCACACTAACTCAGCTTAGAGGGAACACTGCTCAAGAGTACCTTTTCTTCTGAGAAGAAACATAGACATCAGCTTCTTATTACCACCTCCCTGCCTGACAAAGCTGCCTGGTTATAAAAAGTCTCCAAATACAAGTGATATCACCCGCAGGAGTCCACCAGAGTTGCTGGTCTGGCATCACACTACGGCCTTTCTCTCCACTGCTTACCACATTAAGAAAGAAGACGCCTTAATTCCATTTCTGTTTATGTTCTGATCTTGAGCTAGTCATTAACAGTGGAAGTTCAGACCTTTTATACTGCTAGAATAGTTTGCTGTTGGGTGCCAATTAGGCAATAACTGCTGAGAATAAAAAGGTCCCACGGGCAATATTATGTCTCAGTTCTTGTACTCCCCTGTCAGCAAGCAGTACAGGATACAGGATCCAGAAACACCCTGCTGAAAGACAAAGGTCCCCTTCCCTCCTCATCTCACTGCAAAACCAAGAGTTGGCACAATGACAGATTGTGTGTCCTTCTGCTGCAGATAGAGCGTATTGATTTTCACGACATGGAAAAAGGCAAGCTTGTTTGACAAAGCAAAGTTGTTTTTCATGGTGCTTCTTGAATCCCTTTCAGTTTTATTTAGAGCCAAACAAATTGTCCTTTCCAAGCCTGTAACCTAGCTTTGTACCACTTCTGAAGGTCTTAACACTTGCCATTTCTTTTACTTCCCTTGCTTTGAAGTGGAAACCTAAGGGATCAACAATGAGATGGCTTTGTTTCTGCAAACACCATCAGGATGTGTACACCCCTGGAGAAAATTTGGTGTCCTTATTTAAATTCTTTTTTCTTCCTTTAAAAAATTTCAGACCTTTGCCCAAACCAGAACCTGGTTACTTCCAAACAGGTAAATTAATTACCACTGTTCACATGTTTTGTATTATGGCTGAGCATTGTGCCATCGAGAAGAAGCTACTTCCAATCCATTACACTGGTTTAGGTTTTCTAGGGTTTCTCAGCATATACTTTGAATCTGCAGCAGTGTTTTATTTTACTCCTTCAACCAGCTCTAGCCTGCAGCTAATAAGGGTTCCTTTGATGCATTTTCCACCTTAGAGTTTGCTGTGTATACAGGCTGTGCACCATATCCCTAAGCTTGATTTGACAGGTAACAACGCACACACAATCTGCGTCAAATTGATCTATTTTTCAGCCATGTCAATTTTTCCTAGGTAGCAGGGATAAAGGGAATGTTCTTGGCTAACAAGAAGATTGACAACCAAGTAAAAACTTTCATCACGTACAATAAAGGACGAGACTGGCACTTGCTGCAGGCCCCGGACACAGATCTGAGAGGAAATTCAGTTCACTGCCTCCTTGTAAGTGATGGTTTGTGGGAAATGGAAGGAAACTTTTTTTTGGGGGGGGGGAACAGCACAGTGACATTGCTTATTAAAAATGCATGCATTTTGCAACAGAAGTGTTTCATAAAAAGCATACTGTGTGAAAACTTCATTCCTGCTTTGGAAATCAAGTTCTTTTGGAGTTTCAATAGGAAAACAGTGTGCTGTGAGCCTATTTCCTGATTATGCAGTTTTGTGGATTCTGTGTCATTATGAAAGAGAACACTAGATGGGGAGAATGAGCTATTTGTGGAGACAAATGAGAGACAAATTTGCAATGCACCAACATCTGAGGGCTTACTCATGAGTAGGGAGCAAATGCTGTAACCAGGGTAAAATATTTCAATTAAGAAAAAGTCAAGGAACATATGGCAAAATTTGGGGATGCCAATCTGAATCGTGAGTTTCTTTAGAAAGGATATGTAGGACTTCTAATTAATAGGTTAAAAATGTACATTCATGAATATTAACTAAAGGGTTTTCCCCCCACATGAACTAACCCTCACTTAATCATACATACTCTGTTCACTGCTTTTTTGTTTGCACACTTCATGCTCATGTGAATCACCTGGACTTCTATCATTCTATCAGTTTCCTCCTGTCAAACCTAGCTGCTAGTGACTAACAGGTCCTTTCTGCACTAGACCTTAAATCCTGGTTCAGCCCTGTCCCCAAACTTACATTCTACATTAAACGCGAGTTCACCCCTGTAATTATCTTGGGGTATTTTTTACATTCTACACTACACTCGAGTTCACCCCTGTAATTACCTCAGGGTATTTTTTGTTTCCACTTTACATTGAGATCACCCCGGTTTCACCCCACACTTGTCCTGGGATAAACGGATTGTAATGACTCGTTGTTTTACGGTGTGTGTGTTCCTTTAAATGTTTGGTCGGAGTGCAATGTTAGTAGAGTAGAGTGATTGAGAGAGACGTGATGTGATTGGTGGATGGCAGAGTGTTATAACCAGGAATGAATGCAAGGTATTGTGTCCTGAGTTGAATTCTGATAAAACCAGAGATGAGATCCAAGTGTGGAAAGGACCACAGACAACTTTCTCTGAAAGAAGAGTTCAAGCTGTCTTTCCCTGGCTCTCCAAAAGAAGCTAAGGTGCCTTGGATTCTTTCATTATACGAAGATGCTTTGAGAGAGTGATGGAAATATGATCAATGAAGTCTAATTTTAGCTTTATAATCAGTTCTTATGTCTGGGGGTAACCCCAGTATGCCTATACTTAGCAGAAGTTGAGATGCCAGCTGGAGCACAGCAGGGCAGCAATTGACACAACAATTGACACAGCAGGGCAGTCTGTTCTCTAGGTGGTAGGGCCATTAAAACCAGGCCTTCCCAAGGGTCTGGCAGCATGCCCAACTCAGTAGGGTCAGGCAAGGGAGGAACAGCTGCCATGGGGGTGACCCTGAGCCTTAATATACCGGCACCAGCTGGTTGAGGGGAGATGAGGCAGCTAGTTAAATGAATTGCTGGGTGAGGCTGGAGGCTGGCCTGGCTCAGTCACCACCAATTGGCAGTAGTTCCTGCCAATCAGTCCAGGAGTATAGGGTAACCCTAGGGGTTCCAGGCAGTGCCTGGCAACCAGTGGGAGAGTTGGGGGGGGGGGCAGAATCTCAGGAGAGAAAAAAAAGACGATCTCCCTTATAAAGGCCACAGACTCAGACCTTGATGGATAGGTTAGCCCTCCTACCAACACCTTGTGACCTGGGCATTGCCCTAATTTGGCATCTTAACACTGAGCTTTAAATATAAATGATGAGCACTTAGCGCAAAATTGGTTGTAAATATATTGTAAATAGTAACAGAAATAATATCATGAATCTCATTGGCAGAAAATGAAGATGCCTTCTGTAAAAATGCTCCAGCCTTCTGCCTTGTAACCCCTCCTCCCAATCCTTTTTTCTCATCTTAATGACTAGTCTGAAAAACTACGTCTTCTCCTTGCTTCCATCTTGTGGGTCATCATGGATATTTTTGAGGGAAAGCATGGCCTTCGTTCTCTTCATGAGAGAGGTTAAAATTGTCTTTGTATTGAGATTAGGTACTAATATGCTTAACCATAGAACTGTTCTTTTTAAATGACACTTTGGCACTAGCGACTGTACACTATATTTTGTACATTTGTACTACGTTCACAGTTGTATTTTACTTTCTTTTTCTTTGTTGCAATTTTTTTGGTTATCTTTCTCATGCAGCCTTGTGTTTTTCTCCTTTTTTGGTTGTACTCGTGTTCCATGGACATTCTTCAGGTGCCAGATGTAAAAGACGGCTGAAGAAAATTGAGACAAAGGGGAGCGAAGCGTGCTTGTAAATGTGTGCCATTTGCATTGTACCCAGTCTAAGCTAATTGGGGGAAACAAGATTTGGGGAAATCAAGATGGACAATATTTTGGACTTATGCTCCATCGGGGGGGGAATCACAATGGGATTGCCGAGCTGGGCAAATTAGCTAGTAATTTAAATGTGTCAAAGGATGTTCCCTGACAACCCTTTGGAAAAGATAATACTGTCAAGGCACATAGGCTTCTTTCCCCACTTTAAAACTGTGGTTTTGTTTGCTTCCCCTCATTCCCAGTTGGGCTGCTACAGAATATGACCCTTCCATGACTGTCAGTTTCAGATACTGTGTTTGGTTCATTGCTCTTGCCTACTGACATTGCCATCCATCCCATTTTGTCCTTTTCCCCTTTTATCTTCTCAACAGGAGTTCACATCCCACCTCTCAGCACTGACTTCCCACTCCTTTTTTTTTGTTTTGTTTTAAACTAATAAGGCATGTCATCATTCAGGGTTCACAGACTTTCCCCAATGGTGTAAATGTTGGACAACAGTATTGCTCCCAGGGCTCATTTTGGATTGGTAGAGTCAGGTGAATGGATGATCTGATCCCAAATTTACTGGCATTTAATCTGCTCTCCAGCAGTTTTTCAGGTATCTATTAGCTGGGGACATAGCAGGTTGGTGAGTATCCTCAGGAGGTCCTTCCATATGTATCTACAGAGACTGTTGAGGGGTTCTGCTAGTCATTAGAGAGTGTTTCAACCCCAAGGCTCAAGTGGAAAAAGAAAATGTCCTTGCTTTATTATTTACTTTGACTGCCTTCCTATCTGTAGCTCATGCCTCCAGCATCTACACAAACAGATGTTAGAGACTGTACTGAGTTATTTACAACTCCTGTGTACTGTTGTATTACTACAGGAGAAACATCAGTGTTCCCAGCTCTGGTTTTTTAACAGCAGCCTTACAAAAAAACTAAGATATTCTTGTATTTGAGGAATAATCTCAAGAACACACCTACAAATTTTGGATAAAAAGTGGTTCTAGACTTCTGTATATGTCTTAAACATCAGGATTCAATAATAGTAAAATCATAGAGATTCTTTGCTAATAGAACTTGGATTTTCCCTTAATCTATAAAAGGTCTTCAGAATCACAGGAGTTAGTTGTCACATGAGACCTCTAAGAAGACAAAAATGTTTTTTAAATGTATGGTATACAGAATTATGCACACAGATGCCTCTTTGAAAAGCAGTATATGTGCCTATCAACTGTTCAGACAGGATCAGGGGTGTGATTTAGTTCTGTTGCCTGTCTTTCATAAACAACTGGTTGGTATGATTAACGCTGGCTGTACATACATATGGTTGGATTAGGGATTAAGACTGCTGTTCCATAGTCAATTGTGCTTAAATTCTGTTTCATCCAATTATCCTTGAAAAGGAGATGCTGTTGTTGCATTGCCTTACATCCATCTTTAAGCACAGTCATATGGGGCAGTCAATGAGATATTCCAAGGAAGTTCACAAAGCAGAGCATGGAGATCCTTCTCTCTTGTTTGTCCTAGATCTGGTACTCAGACTTATATTGCCTCTAAATGTGCGATTCTGTTTCCAGCCACTTTGCTTAGTAGATGAATATGTTTGCAGCACAGGTCATAGCAAGAATAATAAATGATATACAGAATAGAAGATAACAACATCTAAACAATAAATAAATTTTAAAGAAACTATCACATGAACAGGTATTTTTAAGTTACAAATGATCTTTTCATCTATATAACGTATCTATTGCTGCTGGCTACTCTCTTTGTTTTGTTTTGTTGCCACTGGTAGACTTGTCACTCAGTAAGCTATTGTTTAAGTAGATAACTGTACCAGACCTGGATAGCCCAGCCAATCTAATCAGATCTCAGAAGCTAAACAGGGTTGGCCCTGGCTAGTATTTGGATGGGAAATCTCCAAGGAATACCAGGATCATGACGCAGAGGCAGGCAATAGCAAACCACCTCTGAATGTTTCTTGCCTTGAAAACCCTACAGGGTTGCTGCAAGTCAGCTGTGACTTGACTGAGTTTTCCACCACCAGATAAATGTGTAGGTCCATATCAAATCCAAACCTAAAAGCCATGTAACACTATGTAATAAAGATATGTCAGTATCCAATGGATTTAGCGTTGTAGACCATTTATTGGTATCCCCAAGTATATACTCCTTAACCACTAATGTGGAAGTAGGAGAATACCTCGGGGGAGATCATCTCCCTCTGACTTTTGAATTTACCCCTCAGCAGTGGGCTATTTCCACCTATACTACTTTGGTACCCCAAGAGCGAACCCTAGTCAAGAAGCCTATTAAATGGTCTCAAGAGATTGAGTCCCAAATATCTGAAATTCCTAATCGGGAAAATATTGAGACAGGCATGACTCAATACTGCCTTTCGGGTGATATTGTAACAGGGTTGGAATGCTATGGAACATTGATGAGGAATCTATCATCTCTTTGCTCTGTGGAAAGGGGGGTTAAGGGGAAAGGGGAGACTATACCCATATCAAAGAGTAATAATTGGTATGATGAGGAGTGTAGAGAACTGAAGAGATTAATCAGATTATAGTTTAGAATAACTAAGAGTACAGGTCTGCAGGAGGATGCAGAAAAGATTAGATCCCTTAAACAAGAATATAAGAAGACTATTAAATGAAAGAAAGAGCTAACATCTCAGAAAGATTGGTTATCCCTCCATCTAGCGATAGCAAATAATTATCACAAGCTTTTTTGGAAGCTAATTAAAAATTCCTCCCCTCCCTCATACCACCAGGCAGATATAACCACATCCCAGTGGATATCTCATTATAGTGCTCTCCTTCAAAGTTCAATGGAACCCACACCGACCGATCATATGACACCCAGTCCCCTACTTGAGAATATTGGAAGTTGGCCGGCGGTTTCCCCTAGCCAAATAATTAACATAATAAAACATTTTAAATGAGGAAAAGCTCCTGGCCCAGATTTTATTCCTCCCGAACTATTTTTGATGAACCCTACCTGTTGGGGTTCTTGTTTAGCCTCCATCTTCTCATTAATAAATAATTCTGGTGCTATACCGACCGAGTGGAAGCGTTCAATCATAGTTCCAATTTACATGAAAGGCAATAGGGCTGATCCTCATAACTATCGCCCTATAAGCTTACTCTCTATTCCAGGGAAAATATATGCAGCACAGCTTCTTGAGAGACTAACAGATTGGATTGATCAGGAAGCGATTCTGTATCCAGAACAGATAGGTTTCCTCAAAGGGGCCTCAACCATGGATCACTGCCTTGTATTACATCACTTGGCGAGCAAGTACTTGGCTTTCCCAGACAGGAAACTTTATGTGGCCTTCATGGACCTGAACACTGCTTTTGACTCAATCAATCGCGGTAGGCAATGGAGTAAATTGGCTGATTCTACAATAGATAGAAGGCTATTAGCTCTAAAGAATCTATACACCGACACTTCCGCCCAAATCAGATATAATTGGCAGGGCCAACTCACTGCAAGCTTTCAAACTAATAAGGGTGTGAAACAAGGCTGCTTGCTTGCTCCAACTTTATTTAATCTATTTGTTAATGATATGATTCCATTTGTGAAATCACAGGCTAGACATCCCCCTTTTCTTGCAAATACACCAATCTCAATCCTTCTTTATGGAGATGATGCCATCCTCCTTTCCAAAACAGAATTAGGTTTAAAATTAGTAATTAATGCATTCATTACATACTGCAATAAAGAGGACCTGAAAGCTAACTACTCCAAATCAAAGGTCCTTAGATTCTCTAGAACTTTTCATGATGGACCTAAGGTGATAAATGCACTGGGCGGGGCTTTGGAGAGAGTGCTCTCCTTTAGCTACCTGGGTATTATTTTTAACTACAACTTATCATGGAAACCACATATTCAGGCGACTCTCAAAGCTGCAAATATTACAATCAAGGCGATCAAAAAATTCTTTTACTCTAAAGGTGCAAAGCATATACCAGCTGCCATTAAGATTTTCAATGCTAAGGTTACCCCGCAGATCCTTTACAGGTGTGCAGTGTGGATTGAAAGTGTATCTGAAATCCGTGACTTCCCCCTACACACCTTTTTGAGGGAAATTGCAGCAGTTCCGAGATGTGTAGCGGGAACTGCACTTCGGGTTGAATTTGCCCAACCATCAATGGAAACCTGGGTATTATTTTTAATTACAACTTATCATGGAAACCACATATTCAGGCGACTCTTAAAGCTGCAAATATTACAATCAAGGTGATAAAAAAATTCTTTTACTCTAAAGGTGCAAAGCATATACCATCTGCCATTAAGATTTTCAATGCTAAGGTTACCCTGCAGATCCTTTACGGGTGTGTGGCGTGGATTTTTGAGGGAAATTGTGGCAGTTCCGAGATGTGTAACGGGAACCGCACTTAGGGTTGAATTTGCTCAACCATCAATTGAAAAGAGAGCCTGGCTTGCAGCTTTCAAATGGTTTGTGAAGAAAGGTCCCAAGACAACGCAGAGCCTTCACCTTGGCGAGACTTAATTCCTTTCCTTCTAAGGTGCTCTCGGGTCATTTTACGGGACTTCTGTTCTCGGAACGACTTTGCGATTGTGGACAAGAGATGATAGAAACTATGGATCATATAATGCTTTTTTGCCCCAAGTGGAATAAGGAAAGAGAGAGAGATATCACTCCCATTATGAGAAAAGAAAAGCTTCCCTTTCTTCCTTGGATAGTTTCAGTATTACTGTCTGATTATTCCTCTGACAATCAAACCACGGTTATATATATAATAGATATGTTATAGGAAAGCAGCATAAATATGTGTATGAAGAAACACTTCCTTCTATACTATATTCCTGAATTATGTTATTCCTTTCCAGCCATATTGCTCCCTACATCTTCACCTGAAGGTTTCAGAGAATCCATACACTTCTGGAAATATTGCTAGTCGGGATACTGCCCCAGGCATCATTGTGGCCTCTGGTAGGAAATGTTCCAATGCTATGTTAAGACATGTATAATTTCCTTACACTTTGAAAATTTGTGCATAAGAGTAGAAATCTTTAACCTTGATAGTTTAGATAAATTAGCCATTTCCCCCCAAAACTTAATATCACCAATTATATGAATTGTTTAGTCCTGTAAAAGCAGAATGTCTTCCTGCCTATGGACTGATGTCTTAAGATGCTATTTCATTTCATGATGCTGTCTCTCTTTACAGGTAACATTGGAACTGAGTTATCAGACAATGATATAAGCATGTTTGTTTCATCAGATGCTGGCAACACTTGGAGACAAGTGAGTAGTTAGTGGAGTTTTAGACGGCCAACAATAAGCAAGCTAATATGAACTACTTGTACTATTTTAGATGAGGATAAAAGTCTAGCCTTTGGCGGGGAGGTTGTATGGCATTAGACTACGCAGAAATCCCTCCCCTTCCTCCCTCCTCCAGGCTTCATCCCCCAACTCTCCAAGAATATGTCAACCCTGAGTTGGCAACCCTAACTAAAACTGAACTGATTTATTTTTTTTTGCTAGCAACCATTTTATTTTCAAGGTTTCAGTCCCATTTTGCAAGATCTGGGGCTGAAAATCAAATTTCTTCCTAAGGCTTACCTAGTATTTCAGTACAGGACAGCCTGTCCTTTGTCTAATACAATTCTAAATGTTGTCATTGTCTATATAATCTCATTTTTAATACTGTTATATTATTATCCTTAGTAATAGTCTACAGGAGGGACTACATAAGCGTTTAAAGAAATCCTTACCTCTGTTCTATTTAAATTCATTGCCTTTGTGTTTCACTTCTTGATCCTTGGCCCTAGTCTTACTATTTTATGAGAACAGGATAATGTCATTCATTATTTACATGCTATTACTTATGGTGAGATTTTCTTATTAACTTATAATGAAAGTTATACTAGTCTCACTCCAGAAAATCTCCAGGAAACACTAGATATTCCAGTACCGTCCCAAGGCATATTCCAAATCACTGCAAATAAAACCACAACGCTATGTAAATATTAAAATACAAGCTCAAAAAATTCATAGGTAGCATTCAGTAGTACAATATCTGCCCAATCCATGGAATTTGCATTCAGCTGTAACATATTCATGTTAATTTTCCATCACATTGGATTGCCCCTAAGCATCACCCTTACCTGCAAATATTCACCATCTGTGGACTTAGGGGTGGGGGAAGAAGTGAGGGTGAGGGAGAAGAACAACAACATGACCAGAGTAAAAAATGGCCACAGATTTTATTGCAAGCAACCACAGAAGCATTGATGCATCATAGGGATGGATCCAGCATCAGATGACCCATCTCCCACCCAATACTACTGCATTCCCCAACCCTGCCTGCTGGGTGCAAACTTGGAATGGCAAGCCCTAGGATCCCACAGATACTTCCAGATTCTCCTCCTCGTCATGCCTGCCTCACCCCCCCTAGCTCACAAAGCCCGTTCTGGTCTTCCTTCGCGGCAGGCTTGTCCCACTGACTCCCAAGCAGGTCCCCCACTCGGTGCCGGCGATCTAGTCCTCAGGATTAAGACCCCAGGACAGGCGAGGCACTCCTGCGAGAATGCCCCCCCGATCGCGGCTGGCGGTGTGTCCCCACTGCAGCCAAAACTGGGGGAGAGCTGCAAACAGCACGGGAGCAGCAGACCCACCACGTCCCTCCCTTTCTAGAGCAAAATGGGCAGTGTCAGGCGGATCCCCCAGCCCAAGGAGGCGCACTTGTGGCCTCCACACCTCTCCAGCCCCCGAGGCAAGCATTCCCCGCCCCCCCCCAGCCTGTCTCCAATGATTTGATGGGATCCACTTGCAATCCGATGCAGAAAAACAAAAACTGGCCTGGCGTTGCTTTTGAATGGATCAGGACATAGGTGTTGGTTCCAGGTCGACCGCTTGAACAGGAGAGGCGTGGGAGTGAGGGGCTTTGGTGGGGGGCGGGTCCAGCTTGGCACCCTAAGGGCTGGCCCATGCTCTAGGCGAATGCCTAGTTCGCCTAGCGGGTGAGCCGGCCCTGACCCTGCTCCCCATGTACACCACTGGGCCTAAAGCAGCCAGACCTGGACTTGCCCCTGAAAGTGCTGCTACTTGAGCCCTGTGCTACAACCATGATTGCTGCCACAAACTCACTGCCACTGTAATTCACCACCTCTTAATCACCACTGCTGCAAACTTGCAGCTCGATAACAAGGAAGTACTGAGGATGAAAAGAGGATCTCTGAAGACGCCACATACAGGAGCATGCCACCACTGAGGAGAGAAGCTTGTTGCAGAGAACACCACCATTCCAGAAGCCTGGATGTTGAAGAGAGAAGCCACATGAAGCATGCCACAGTTGCTTATCTCCCAAAGATCTTCCCACAGAGCCAGAACCAAGTGAGGACAGGCCCCAGTAGCAGCCCACATAAAATGGGAGGGGCGGACCAGAGAGTAGCCTCTGTACTCTCCTCCCAGGCTGGCCCCAGAGAAGCTGATTGGCCTGCCTGGGCCTGCAATGGGAACCCGGCCCCTGACTCATCAACACTGGCATGAGGTTGTAAAAAAAAACTTTACTCAGTCATACTCCCTTCCCCATGACTGCAAATGTAGCCCTAAGTGAGTCTGAGGCCGTTGCTTCTGGAAGACATTATCTGCATTTAGACATAACAATATACTGTGGGAATACCACAGTTTGTCGGTCTGCCAGTTCGTTGGTCTACCACATGTACATAATAGGCCACAGGTTCCTCATAAATCCCATTCAGCCTGCTGTTTGCATCCTTTCCCACCTCAAAGCAGAATACAAAGATAGGGTTGCCAGGTCCCCTCGTTGCTCCAGTGGGGCAATTTGGGGGGCATTCTGGGGGTTGGCAGGGATGCTCCCAAGCCCTTCCCCCAAGAGCAACCACCTGCCCAGCCACCCCTCTCCCTCCCCTCCTGCCCAATTTAAAGGGCTTCAGCTGATTGGCGGGGACCACATAGCCCGCCAATCAGCTGGAGGGCCATTTAAATCTAGTATGAGATAGGGAGAAGGGTGATCACTCAGCTCACAAAAAGACCCTTTAAAGACCCCCCAGCTGGCCAGGGGCATATTGGAGCCCTAAAAAGTGGGGGAACCCCCACCCGGACTTGGGGGCTGGCAACTCTATGCCCAGATTCTATCTTAACTTTCCTTTTGTTGCTAAGCATCTGGTAAACCTTCAGTTCATATTGCTAATGCAATAAATGTGAGGGACATAGATAGGAAGACACCTAGGTCAAGGTAAGCTTCCTCCTACTAAGGATTTCCGTTGTCCTCCTGCTTCCCCATCTATCTAGCAGCTTCTCTGAGTTCCAGAACTTTTAAATTTTGGAACCAAAATAAATATTTTGCAGCCCCATCCCCTTTTCTCTGTTGGACTGAATCTACGCATACATATTGTGCTATGGTTGTGCTAACATAACCATTTTCCTCTTGGAGTTTCTTGTGGGGAGAAGACAATCAGATGAATTATTATGATAGCACAGCAAAAAATACAGTATCCAGTGATGTGTGGATCCAGCTTTGCTGATGATCATCTACCCATTGCTTAGTTTTATTGGTTTGGCTTTTAACCACTTTGAGAATGTTCTGGAGAATTGTCATACAAATGCTGCAAATCTCCCTTATAAATAAAAGCTGAATGGTGGTGGCACTTCTCTAGAACATTCCACACTCTCCAAAATCAGTTCGTTCTCTGATCTGTCATTCAGAGGGTCTCACTATCCACTGGCTGCTTTGCCTGAGTCCTGCCTCCAACATTCTAAACATTTTGCTAATCCTCTCCCGCCCATAGCCAGTCAGAACACAGAGGTTATTTGCATATGCAGCCTCATTGGCCTTTGCCTCGGAACACAGAGGTCGTTTGCATATGCGACTTGATTGGCTTTTGCCTCTAACATTCTAAACAGTTTGCTCTTCTGAGGTAAAATGTGTCCAATCTCCAGGTGATGTCTGGAGATCACTCAGAATTACAACTGCTTTCCAGATGGCAGAGATCAGTTTCCCTGGAGAAAATGGTGGGCTCTGTATCCTTATATGCTGCTGAGGTAGCCCCCATGACAGCCAATGTGATGCGGCAGTCAGGGCTTCAGAGCATGGGAGAGGCTGCAGGTGTGTGAGGCGTGGAAAGCTGAAGAGTGAGGGGGAAATAAAGGTAGGTTGATGATTGGCTGGGAAGGAGATAGGGTTGCCAACTCCAGGTGGGAAATTCCTGGAGATGTGAGGGATGGAGCCTGGAGAGGGTGAGGTTTCAGGAGGCGTGGGACCTTGGACAGGTACAAAGCCATAGACTCCACCCCCCAAACCAACTGTTCCCTTCTGGGGAACCATCATTGCCAATCTCCAGGTGAGGACTGGAGATCACTCAAAATTACAGCTGTTCTTTAGGTAGCAGAGATCAGTTCCTCTGGAGAAAATGGTGGACTCAGTGTCATTATACCCTGCTGAGGTCGTCACAACAAATTCACACTGAGTGTCCAAGGCCAGGGCACCCACTCAGAGCCTCTTTCTAGAGGTCGTTGTATTTATTTCCACAATGGACCTTTTTCCTAGTATATAAATAAAACCTGAAAGTGAAGAGGCATCAAACAAGCCCAAGTAGGCATGTACCACTTCCTTCTCTTCATGACTGTCTTTTTCATATCTAGTCCAAGACACTGATACAAAAAAAGAGTTTAAAAATTTAGTTTGATAAAAATGGACTCATATTTTCTCTATTGAAGACTTCACGGAGATATCAATAGTCTGAGAGTCTTCTGCAGATATTTGTTGCAGCTTAACAGGCATATGCTAATTTTTAACAGTTATCACTCAGGGAAAATAAAGCTTCAGCTCATTTTGTGCAAACTAGAAATTTCCAAGCAAGAATTTTCATCACCCCACCCTTCTTTTTTCTGTCAGTTACTTCCATATCCATTACTTTGAGTATAAGCATTTAATGAGCTTTGGCACTCAGATAACAAAATGGACAGCACAATGTGTTGATTGTTGCACAAAAGTAAATATGTTTTTAGTAAGTGGCTGGCATTTAATTAACATACATTTACTATCCTCATAAAGTGGAATCAAGTGCACACAAGTTGAATTAACAAAACAATAAGTATGTTTAAGGCTAATGGATATACTGCCTCCTATGCATAGAATGCTAAGGGTCACTGCTTTAATTAAATAATTCAATTTAGAGTTGATAATTAAAAACATCTATGACTACATGGTGCAAAAACGGATAATCTTCTTGAAACCAGAATTCCCTCTAAGCTGAGTTAGTGTGAGCTAGGTCACAGGTTTTTTGCCTGCAGCTCACAGATTTTTGTCTTAGCTTAGGAAGAATGACTCCAGAGCAAACTAATTTATGCAGTAGCCAAATCACTCGCTCACAACTTTAATGCCAGTAGCTCACAAAGTCAAATTTTTGTTCACAAGACTCCCCAGCTTAGAAGGAGCGTTGCTTGAAACTATTATCTGTGGTGGGCAAAGCACATGGAAATGGGAAAGAGGGGGTTCTGTAACATTCATGCAAACAAATATTACAGAGACTAGCATTAGGGATGTCCTTTCATTGCTGGGGAAGAAAACCTGCCCCAAAGGTAATTCATTCCCATTCATTCAGGAAACAAAAAGGATAGAAAATACTAGCAAAAGGAAAAATGCCATCCATCCATCCATTTCATTTTTTCCCTTCCTTTCTCTTCCTTCTAACTCTCTACTTTCTTCCTGTCATCTCAACAATTTCTCCTTTGCTGCAGCAACTTCTGTTCGTATTCCTGCTATTGCTGCTGTAGGAGATAGTTGATCAGATAAAGGGCAGGTGGGCGGAGTATCTCTCCACCTCCATCCCTTCTGGTGAACTGGCTACTGTTTCCACAGTATTCATGCATTTCTATATTTTGGGAAATGTAAAAAACCCAACAATGCGTAATACAAGAAAAATGAAACAAAAATAAAAAGTGGTTGTATGCTCCTAGTTAGCATCACCAGAGGAGTCCATACTCTTGTTCATCTCCTTTGTCGGAAGGAGTACAAAAGTTGAAGTAAAATAATGAATTCTACTTGATAAACTGGAGTGCTTGTAGTGAATATGAACCCAATGATGCTCATGGCGTCTTACACTCTCTTTGCATGTGTATAGAGTGATTTGGTTACTATTGCCTGTGTGGGATGTTTTAAAGACTTGACCCACAGGGCCAGCTCCACATTATATTTACATGGCATTTAAACAGAGCATCTTCCAGGTGGATGTTCACTACATGTTATAAGACAAGCTTTCCTGGTGCAATATAGGAATGAGTATCAACCCCTTAGACAGCAGCTAAACTCTGCTGAATCCTTGACACCCAGTAGCTCTTCCTTTCTGTATTAAAAAATTTTTAGAAGACCCAAACCATTAATTTTTCTAAGAATTGCAAACAGAATTCATCATTTATTAATGCTAGCAGACCAGTTGGTCATAAGCAAATAAAAGAATTATACATACATGCATATAAAATACATTCTTACAAATACATCAATTGGGTTATCCAATATTACAATCTATAAAAATACCTGATAATACCAATTTTAAGATTTACAAATCATATTCCTTAATCTGATTACTAATTAGGTTGTTTAGTAGTATGTGAGTTCCTTAAATTCTCCTCATGTCTCTTGTTGTGTCCAAACATTCCCAAGAAATTTAACTACTGTGATTGTAATGGCTGGATCAGAGCCACCAAGCAAGAATTGGAGCTTAGTTGCAACAGGCAAATCAAAAAACAGGGAGCAACAAATCAATATACTGGGTTCTCAAGTGTTTATATCTTTGACAAGAGAAAAAAATATGCTCTTATAGTTCTGATAGAACCAAAACCACAGCCACATAGACTCTGAGAATAGGGCTTTTTAGCATAATACCCTCTTAGAACAGTGGTAGGTGACACATTGAACCTAGCTAGAAAAAATGCTCTTCTGTAGGCTAGGATGGTCAAAAAATCTATATACAGGCAACAGGACTTTGAATATAGAAACCCAAAGAAAGCAGGAGAACATACAGGATGATCATGGAGAATAGTACTTTTTAAATCTCACTGGAATAATATTTTTTTTTCATCAGAGAACAGGCTGCAGAAAAGGACATAGTCATTAAGGAGGTGCTATCCAGCCCCAGCCTTTGACTGTACTGATGAGCCTCAAAACTTATTGGATGATAGATGATAGATCGATTTAAGGATTGTAAACAAGGCTGGTCTGTTTATGCTACCTTTTATATTAGATAATAATCTGACTGTATTGAACGGCAGTGTGGCCATGGTGGCTCAGAGGTTAAGATGCCGAGCTGCAGACCAGAAAGTCTGTAGTTCGGCAGTTTGAGACTCTAGTGCCAAGTGACAAAGTGAGTGCCTGTCTCTGGCCCCAGCTCCTGCCAACCTAGCAGTTTGAAAGCAAGAAATTGCAAGTAGATAAATAGGTACTGCTTTGGTGGGAACGTAACAGCGTTCCATGTGCCTTGGTATTTAGTCATGCTGGCCACATGACCACGGAAATGTCTTCGAACAGCGCTGGCTCGACAGCTTGGAAACAGAGATGAGCACCACCCCCTAGAGTCAGATTCAACTAGCTTTCGAGCAAGGGAAACCTTTACAAAGGTTTCTTACTGAATTGCAGAAGAGGGATTGACCCATATGGAGAATACACCTTTATTTCCCAAAATGGATGTAGCTTAATTGATTATTTTTTTAGTTTCTTCAAATATAGTTCCAGCTGTCAGAAATTTACATGTTGAACCTTTTTTGTTGGTGATCACTTACCACTTATATTGATATTATCAATTAACTCCCAGGGTGCAAGCTTGTCCAATTCGACTTTGGATCAGGAAACTTCTTCCAGAATACCTAGGAAGTGGCCCCCTTAATGTGAAATGGAACTTGATATTTTATTATCTTTGAATTTTTTAGAGAGGCTAACCCGAGAAATATTAGAGGGTACTGATTCACTTAAAGTTATAAAATCATTTCAGAATCTTTTGGAGGCCCTCAAACCATTATTTGAAGTACCTGTGCGCCCCTCTCAACTTAATGGGAAATATACATGTTATGATCGGGAATGTCATCAGTTAAGGAAGGCTATCCAGAGATCTGGTAGGACCTTCAGATCCTCTGGTTTTTACAAAGATTTAAGACCCCTATTCCACCTTAAAATAAAATATAGTAATTTAATAAAATAAAAAACAGCAGTACATTAAAAAAGAATGGGATCTCCTTATCGAGGCCTCTAGTAGGAAAGAGCCAAAATGATTTTGGTCCCTGATTTCTAAAGCAAGCGAACAACCCACCTTGGAAAATTCCATTCCCTCACAAAAGTGGGTGAAATATTTCTCTGAACTTTATATGTATTCACATTCAAGCATAGCCCCTCTTCAAATTTGTGTGTTAAATTTACCTCCTTGGCCCAAATTTACTATCCAGGAAATAAAAATGAGACTAATTCTCAGTTCATCCTGTATAATACTTCAGCTTGTCTCAGTTTACTCAGAAGGCATTGTAGGTGTGGTCATTAGGATTTGGTAGTAAGCAAACTAGTTACATTGTGTATGCACTCTTGTGTACTTGTAGTCCAGGAATTTAAAAAAGCAAGGTACTGTACAGTATGAAACATAAAAATAGTAAACTTTGCATCCAGGCTTCTGTAAGACTACTATATTACCTCAGAGGTTCAGTGATCTACCCCTGTTAATACATTCACCAGTTCTTGTCACCAAAATCATAGTAGAAGAATACCAAAACCATTTCACTTTTACCATATAAATATTCTCCTGTGTGAACATGGTCCCACATGGCCAGTTTCATGTAGACTTGTTTTGTTCAAACTCATCCCATACTTTTTTTGGAAGGAAGGAAGGAAGGAAGGAAGGAAGGAAGGAAGGAAGGAAGGAAGGAGTCACATGGACTGGGTTGTTACACAATCCAAATTCATCCAGAAGGCCTGTCTCTGTTATTTGCAATAGCAGAGGGAAAGGGCTCATGCTTCTTCTTCAAGACCTTATTTCAGCACAGGGTCCTTTGAAGGTATAAAATGTGACAAAGGAGGATGCAGCCGATGCAGCCAAAGCTGAGCAAAAACATTTTGCTAATTTTTGTTCTCTAGTTTTGTTTCTGCCTTGTTTCATTTATCTTGAGGGTAATAGAATAGAGCCATTTCACATGTTGCATTTTTCTTGCACAGGCAACACTTCAGTGAATAAAAAGTCATGGACACTCATGATGCATATAATAAAGAATACATACATGTTTATTATGTGTTTGTTCTTGGGTTGGAAAGCCACAGCTAAGCAGAGATGGTAAAAGTAGGTTGGATGATGCATTGATGTATTAAGCACACCTTTTTACCACAGTGATTCAGGTTTGTGATGAAGGAGAGAAATAGCATTTGATCTGTGGATATACATTTTTTCCCCATGCAGATTTACTAGTTTCACCAAATGGACAGGCTGTGAAAGATAATGTCTTTAATATTTAAACTAGTGTTCCAGGAAATTAATATTTTTCAGTGTTTGCTTAGATCATATCTGTAAACTGAAGGGTTTGTTGTCTTCAGTAAACATCCATAATCAGTGAAATGAGACTATGATGATTCTCCTATCCAAGAATATCCTTGCTGGGTGGGGTAGTATAACAAATTTCAGATGACAATAGAAGTTTGATGACCAGATTGGTTCCTGCTTTAAATTCCAAGACCTATCTCCTGCAAAAGAAACCCTTTCCAACTGATTATAGAGCTGTGACTCACATTAATGAACCTTGTGTCTTTCTGTATTTTTTCCAGATCTTTGAAGAGGAACACAGTGTTCTTTATCTGGATCAAGGTGGGGTTTTGGTTGCCATGAAACATACATCTCTGCCTATCAGACATCTCTGGTAATTGCTACGACTTCTCTGATCTCATTAGTCATGGAGTCCTTCATCATACATTACACGCTAGTAGCAGTTACCCATGACGGAGTATTTTTAACTAAATACCAAGATATGCCAATTAAGAAACTTGCATGCTTTCCCTCTGGATCACACTAAATCAAGCCTTTAGTGGCCATATTGACATTTAGGTTAAAATCAGTGGAGCTGTTGTGCTTATTACTGTGCCTGAGAATGTGGACTCTTGAAACAAGAACTGAATATACATTGGGGGCATTGGGAACATTCCATGTGGGTTATGCTTTCAGTTTGACACACTGTTTCAAGATTGGTTCTATACATACAGTCACATCTAGGGGTGTGTGTTCAGTATAACTGAACAGATATGTACTCGGCTACCAGTATAGCTGAGCCCGAAAAAAGCTGCTTTTTTCCTGCTTTTATTTGGATGTGTTCAGCTATACCAAGAGCCAGCACTAGCTGAGACCACAGAGAGCTCTCAGCTTCACGTTTTTCCAGGTGATCTGCATCGCAACTGGCAAAAGGCATATAAAGGAAATGCGTCAAGCCACACAGCACAAGTGAACTCTGCTTGGGACTCCATTTGCATGGTGCCACTTGTGAAAGGTATTAACATGCCTTTTGCAAGTGGCACCACATGAATGGTGTCCCAAGTGGCTTGTTCCGGGTTAATGGAGTTCAAAGCAGCAGGTTCCAGGTGAACTCACCACTTGGGACTCTATTTCTGTGGCCTTTTGTAAGTGATGCCATGCAAGTGAACTCCCACCTGGAACTTGGGACTCCATTCACCTGGAATTCACTGTTTTAAACACCTTCTCCAAGAGGTGAGTTCCAAAAAAAATCAGGAACCCTGAATATTTCCCAAATCCCAATACCATACCAATATTGGGATTCAGGAATATCAGTAAATACCAATATTTTGGGGGTTCAGTATACCAGAACCTGAAAAATACCAGTGTGTGTTTTTTTTGCACACCCCCTCACATCTACACTGCATAGAACACATACTACGTACTTAACATCCATACATTTGCAGGCGATAGTACAATAAAATGTCTTTTTCTCTCCATTCTGCTGATTGTTTTGTAGGTTTGTTATGCTATTTATATTCAGTCTGCCATCTCTGCGGATTGGTGACTTTGGGCTTATGACTTATCCTCTGACTTATGCACATATCAGCCCCCCATCCATATATACATCCTGTCTGTGTCCTCCCCACCCCCATCCATCGCCCTTATCAATTCTTGCGTGGGGTATTTAACACAAAAAATACTATATAACTCAGATGGAAATGTATTCAGTAGTTTTAAAGGGAAATGAAGAAATGGTGGAAGTTTATGTAACAGTGGAACCAGCTGTGGATTCTTTGCCCTAAAATGAATCCCTAGTCACAAACAGAAACTGGAGAAAGCAAGCTCTGTGTGGAAAGGCCCACCATAGAAAAAGCTCAGTGCTTATTGGTTTAGGGATCCAAAAGCACCAGTTGGCATGGAACAAGATGTGGTGACAGCTCTTGGTGTAGGTCATTTTAAAAGGATTAAATACATTAAAGTCAATTGGTTTTGTAGGTGTTCTATGCAGTGTAGATAGACCTTCCTTGGTCTAAGATAGATCCTGGGGACAAACAGAAAGTCAGCTGCTCTTGAAATGAGAATGCTGGATTAGAGAGACTTTGAAGCTTCTTCAACAAAATAGTGCATATCTTACAAGCACCAAATACTATTTGTGTATTTATTAAACAAGATTTGAGTCCAATAGCATCTTAAAGACCAACAAGATTTCCAGTGTATAAGCTTTCAAGAGCCAAAGGCTCCCTTCAGCAGATATCTTTGACTCTTTATACTCTGGAAATCTGGCCACAGCATTTGACTCAATTGACAGGTCCCACTTATGGTTGAAGCTTGTGACAATGAACCTAGACAAGTGGTTATTTTGCTCCACAAACTCCATAGAGATACATATGCACAAATTAGGGTGTGAACATCAGGCTCTCTAACCAATAGAATCCCCACCAGTAAAGGCATGAAACAGGGATGCATGCTGGTACCTTTATTATTTAATATTTATATTAACAGTATAGTTGAGTGTCTTTCAGGTCCCCAGTTTGTCCCACTGTTGTGTCCGCAGAGAGCCACTAGGTAGCCAGCGCCTTAGTCAGAGCTTGCTCCTGAATAACAGAAGGACCAAGGATCCTAGGAACACCAATAGGGTCCCTAGGTGGACATTCAAACCCACCAGCAGGCAGAGGAGAGCTGACTAGGGATTGGTTAGGGACCAAATAAATACAGGATATCGCGGGCTTGTTTCGTTGTTGTGTGTACGTTGTGCCAATAAACTAAGCTGATCACTATGCTGAATCACTGAGCTTTCCTGCAACGAACCCAGTACACAACAATAGCGATGAGGATGAGATCCCTCTAAGCAAGCCAGGCTGCCGGAGCACCCGAGGAGGTAACTGACCTCTGCCGCTCCCCCGGGGATGCGCACCGATGGCGACTCAGCGGCCTCCATGTCTGCACCTCCACCTCCACCGCACAGCACGATGGCTCTGGCTCTGGAATCGGGAATAGTTTCCCTGTTCGATCCAACCCGCCCTCAGCAGTGGGGAGCCTGGGTCACCGGACTCAAGTCCATCCTGATCTTCTACCAGGTCACCGAAGAGGAGAGGAAGAAAGACCTCCTGATCGGCTCCTGCGGTCCCGCTACTGTCAGCCTGGCCCAGAACCTCCTCTCCCCCACCTCGCTGGACGATGCAATGTTCTACCAGATTGTCAAAGCCCTGCAAGACCACTTCATCCCTAGCCCATTGGAGATGTCGCGCCATGTGGCTTTCCACTACAGGAAACAACAACCACGGGAGTCGGCCACTGAGTTTCTGGACGAGCTCCGCCGCCTCACAGCTGACTGCAAATTTGGAACCCATTTGGATATTGCCCTCCGAGACCAGTTCGTTTGTGGCCTCTGGGAAGAGAAGCTGAGGAGACGGATCACCAAAGATGAGAAGTGCACCCTAGCTTCCACCCTCTCAACGGCCACCACATGGGAGCGTTCCCACCCGGCGCCATCACCGGGTCACTGGGAAACCGCAGCACACCAGGCTACAATCAATTCCGGGAACTCCAAAGCAGAAGGGGTCCACAAAAACCATCTGGTCATGCACAAGAAGGCTCCAGGAGGACCACCGTGTTTCACTGGGGTCCCGGACTCGCCCACCTCTTTGGAGTGCACCAGTTGTGGGGCAGCACATGAATGGAGGACATGCCAGTTCAGGGACGCCACATACAGGAGCTGCAGATGATCCAATCACATCGCCTACATCAGCTGCTCATGGGGGGCTCGCCACCTGAACAGCATGCTACCACAGCAACCACACACCGCTGAGCACTATGAGGCCGACATGTCCATGGAAGAGCTCTACCTCCTTTCAATGGAACAGGTACTGAAACTCCCGAGCCCTACCACAGCCCCTTAAATACAGGTCCAGCTACAGATAGAGGGGTCCCCTTGCACCATGGAGTTAGACTCTGGCTCTGCGGCCTCCATCATCTCAGTGGAGACGATCAATAGACTCTGTCCAAACAGGGGGCCCCACCTGCGACCCTCCAACATAAACTTAGTGGACTTCCAAAGGAACCGAGTTCCGGTGTGGGGCAAGGGTTGTTTCCGGGTTCGCTACCGGGAGTTCAATGGGCTTTTAGACTTGGTCACGGCTGAGGGAAACTTGGTCAGCCTTTTGGGACGGGCTTGGTTCAGCCCCCTAGGAATAACCTTAGAGGGGGTGAAGCAATGCGACCAAACGGACTTTAGCGAGGTCTGCGCAGAGTTCCCATCCATTTTCGATGGATCGTTGGGGCGCTACACTGGTCCCCTGGTCACCCTGCAGCTCGACCCCAAAATAGCACCCATCTGCATGCGTGCTTGGCGGGTCCCCTTTCCTCTGTAATGTAAAATTGACACCGAGCTGGACTGCCTGGTGGTGCAAGGGGTTCTAGACCCAGTCTCCCATGCGGCATGAGAAACCCCAATCATTACACTGGTGAAGCCCAATGGCGACATCCACATCTGCGCAGACTACAAGTGCACCTTGAATAAGGCCCTGCAGGATCATGCCTACCCCATTCCAGTTGTGAGCCAAGGTCTTTGGGAAGTTGGACCTCACCCAGGCGTATTAACAGTTGATGGTAGACGAGGCCACAGCCATGGCCCAAGCCATAATCACGCACCGGGGGTGTTTAAGGTGAAGAGACTCCAGTTTGGGGTGAGCGTGGCACCGGGGATTTTTCAACATTTAATGGACTCTCTCTTAAAAGGGATCCCTGGGGTCACCCCATTCTTCGATGATGTGCTGATCGCCACAGCAACCAGGAAGGAGTTCACGACCCATCTCCGTGCCATTCTCCGCTGTATTCACAAGGCCGGTCTCAAGGTAAAGAGGGAGAAGTGTATTCTGGGAGTCGACCAGGCTTACAAGGGGTGCTTGCCATGAGGGGATATAGTTGTTGCCCCCAGTGCCCTGCACCAACATGTCATTCGGGCACTCCATGAGGCTCACCCGGGGATCGTCAGGATGAAGGTTCTGGCCAGGAGCTACGTGTGGTGGCTGGGAATTGAAGGTGAGCTCGAGACATGGGTGAAGGGGTGTCAAGCATGCCAGGCAGTCCGCCCGAACCCTCCAAGCGCCCCACACACAGGCTTGGGAGCCCACCCACAGGACGTGGTCCTGACTCCACCTCGACTTCGCCGGCCCCTTCCACAGATTGCTCTTCATGGTCACGGTGCACTCCTACTCCAAATGGCTGGAGGTCATGCCCGTCTCTACAACATCCACAAAGGCAGCCATCCATGCGCTGCGGCAAATCTTCGCGACTCATGGACTCCCAGACACCATTGTCTCCAACAACAGAATGGTCTTCACGTCAGACGAGTTCCAGGCGTTCCTCCGGGGAAACCTCATCCAGCAGGTGAGGTCAGTACCTTTCCACCCAGCCACGAACGGACAGGCTGAGCACATGGTGAGGACCGCTAAAGAGGTACTCAGCCGAGTCACAGAGTGTGACTGGGAGTTCTGCCTGGCCTGGTTCCTGCTGTTACAACACACCACCCCCAACCCAGTCAGCAGCTGCAGCCCAGCCGAGATGCTGATGGGCCGAAGGCTGACCGTTCTACTGGACAGGCTACACCCAGATAGGATCCCCAAGTTGTGGATGCACTCCAAACAGGTAGAAGCACCTCGAGGGTTCTCTCTGGAGAACTCCGTCTTCATAAGGAATTGTGGAAAAGGACCCCTTTGGCTGGCAGGCTGGGTCATTCGTCCCACGGGGCCGGTATCATACGAGGTCTCCACAGAGGATGGCCAGGTCCTGAGAAAACATGTGGACCAGCTGCATAGGCAACAGATCCCAGTATCCCTGGAGGCAGAGCCATCCCCGGGCCCCAATGAGCAGAGTTCAGTGGAACCGGACATAGACATCCCTGAGGCAAGAACCAGCGAGCCCGTTCAGCCTGCGTGTATGGAGCTGGGAGAAGTGTCTTCACCCACCGCTCCAGAGGCCAAGGTGGATTCCCAGCCCCGTCAGAACCAAAGGGACGACTCATCTCTGGAAGCACCAGGAACCCCAGTTCCATTACCAAGGCATTCCACTAGGGAGCACCGGCCTCCAGCCTACTTAAAGGACTATGTGCCCTAGGCACAATTTGAACTATGGGGGGAGGGGTGTTGTGTCTGCAGAGAGTCACTAGGTAGCCAGCGCCTTAGTCAGAGCTCGTTCCTGAATAACAGAAGGACCAAGGATCCTAAGAACCCCAATAGGATCCCTAGGTGGACATTCAAACCCACCAGTAGGAAGAAGAGAGCTGACTAGGGATTGGTTAGGGACCAAATAAATACAGGACAAATCGGGCTTGTTTCTTTGTTGTGTGTACGTGTGCAAATAAACTAAGCTGATCACTATGCTGAATCACTGAGCTTTCCCGCAACGAACCCACTACACAACACCCACCTTCTTTGGGGCAACAAAAAGTCTCCCTTTTGCTATATGCGGATGACATGGTTCTAATTTCCCTGACCAAAAATGGACTGAGAAGGTTACTAAATCAACTAGGGCAATACCATAAAGAAAAATCCCCGAACATTAACTATGAAAAAACAAACGTAATGATCTTTGAGAAAAGACCCAAAACATTTTTGCATTTTTACTACTCCAAGGTCTATTTTGCATTTTTACTAATCCAAGGGTGGACACCTTATAGATCCAGCCTTGAAATGATTTAAAAGTAAAGTCATGCCTCACCTTCTTTATGGTGCTGAAGTGTGGGGATGGAATGAAGCTACTATATTGAGCCTAAAAACAATTCAAAATCCATTTCTAAGATGCATCCTAGCTCTCCCAAAGGGTACTCCTGCTGCTCTGATGAGAACTGAAACTGGTCTCCCTTCTTGAAGGGTGCTGGTACATAAAATATTGGAAAAGGAACAAATCTTCCAGGTCTAATTCACTCAGCCAACAATAATTCAACCTTGTATCATCAAAAGACTTGCAGCATCAGGGCTTTCTGAATAGCATTTCCTCAAGATATTCCATCCCCAATGACCTCTTAGGACCTAAAGTGGACAAGTTCCAGCTAAAGGACTGGATATTTAGATTTGATGCTCTGATTGACCAATCTTGCTTGGCCAGCAAGCATGCCTAAGGAGGCCCAAAAGAACAAGGGATCCACCCAATACACATCCCAGGAGACTGAACCAATAATGGCTGGGTTTGGAGTCCTGATACAGGAAAATTGTGCCTTCAGGGCAGTGGGCACAATGGGAAAATGGCCCGTGATGGACAGGGATAGCCTGTAATGGCCCTAGAGGGGGTTTAGACAAAAGAAGTCCATGGTTGAGGAAGGAAAGCCTTTGTTAGTAAAGCTTTGGGCAATTGCAGAGTCTTGGCTTCATTAATGGCTGGGCGTTTGAGAAAACAATAACAACAATAGGCTGTGGCCAGGGTGGTCCAAGTATCGACCTGCAAAGTCCAGAGGTATGATTATGGGATGTAGAAATGGAATGCAGGTCCGTCGACATCTTCAGGGTGATGAGATTAAGACATTGCCTTTTCCGATGACAGATGTGTGTCTGCTTGAGGCTCTATCTGAAGTGATAGCTGATTGTGTCAGTGAGATGGTCCCGAGCACATGGCTGGGCTGGTTGGCACTGCACTAAGAGAGGGCTATATTTGCCCTATGCCAACTTTGACCCTAACCTGGCCTGGGTACCATTTTTACACGGCAAGTGAGGACTTGGGCTAAAACTGTAGAAGAGAAGATTGTATACCTCCTACCTGATAATGATACATATGTATCTTATAGATTATCTCTGTTTGCCTTTGCAACAAAGAAGGTAAGATCTGAGAGAGTAGTGTTGGGGGTGGTTCCTTAAAACAGTTTCAATTTCAATTCAATTTCAAAACCTTTATTGGCATAGATGAGTTTTAACCAGTTTTAATCTCTTTTAACTGCAAATTTCTGTATCTTAGTTCTATGTTTATATTTATTAATGTAATTCATGGTTCTTTTAAACTTGTAATGGCCAATGGCTATATACAATAAATTATTGACTGACTGACTACTCTGGAAATCTTGTTACTGGAATTGAATCTGGCTCTTGTACTACAGACCAACATGGCTATCCATCTGAAATTGTATTTATGTATGTCCTTATATCTTACCCTTTTCCCATTGAGCTGAACATGTCAGTTTGGGTTTAAAAATGCATAAGTTAAGAGTATAGCATCCCCTTCCTCTCAGGAAAGTAGAGGCCTGATAGGCCTCAAACTGGAGACCACAGTGGTTCCACCAGGTTTCATATCTTCCTTAATAGCCATTGGCATTACTGCCTTCTGTTAGTGTACTGAATCCGTTTATGAACTCATTCATACTTTTGGCTCCCATCAAAACCTGTGCGTATGAATTCTGAAAATCAAATATAGGTTGATTTATTTTTCTTATTTTGAACATGTTATGCAATATTTTCATGAAGCATCCTTGTCATATGGAAAGCATTCCTGACACCTGGTGATGCCTCTTGTTTAAGTGTTATTGTGCTCTTTTTAAAAGGTGGGGCTACTGCTGTCGCCCTGCAATTTCTTCTGACATTTTCCATTCCTTGCCCAATAATTCCAGTTATTACCTTTTTGATGGCTGCAATATGTTGGCCCTTATATTTTCAGGATATTGTCCACAACAATTCAAAATACTTTCTCTCAAATGGGAGGGAAATACTATTTCAGAACCCTGCAGGGCATATGGATAATAGTAGTTATTTTTCCAGTGTTCAGCATTTTGAGCTTATCAACAATGAATTTCATCTGCCATTCCATTTCACTCTTCCAGTGTCATGAGATTTTTTTAGAGGACTCACCCTGTGCTTTATAATTAAATGTTTTCAATGAGCCATTGTTCTCTGTGAATATTTTCCGTTTCTTGGACCCCTTTCACATTAATATATAAAAGCAAAGTGTTTACCTCTTTCCACTGTCAGTGTTTTGATATTTATGGTATTTGCCTGTTAAAGTACCCTGTTTTTCAGAACTTTGCAATTTCTTGAAATCTTTTTGTGAGAAGTCAAGTTGCTCTGTGTTCTTAAAATAGTTCTGTCAGTTCGTAAAGTGCGTTCATTTGCCCCCTGCAACAGAAGCATCCATTTATCCTTCTTCCTCTTTCTTTTACCACAATGTTTGTAGAAAAAAATGTTTTCTAGTATTTTTATCATCACCAGGTTAAGTTTTGATGAAGGAAGATCCTGGAGCAAGTACAGTTTCACTTCCATCCCTCTTTTTGTTGACGGGGTGTTGGGAGAACCTGGAGAGGAAACCCTAATAATGACGTAAGTTAGGAATATATAGAAGATGATAATGAGCATGAGATAATTTCCATGGAAACCTTCCCTATTCCTATTTGTAGCAACTGAATACAGAAGAACAAGTCTTCATTGTTGTTATATCCCAGTCCATATTCCCGTTTGTACTAACATTTGAGTCTTAATAATTATGAATTGGCTAAATATTGATTAAACTAATATTTGTTCATGAAATGGTTTTATTTTTAAACTGCACATGCTGATTATGATTGTTTAGTATTTGCTGTTATCTCTCAGTGTTCAAGTTAATTCATCCAGCTTTGTACAAACAAAGGTAACAAACACGTGCCACTGTTACCTAACTCCAAAATGTACCTTAGTTGGAAGCAAGAAAGTCGAACTGGAAACGTGGTTGATTACATGGCTCAGGGTAAAGCTAATTAACTGGTAGATTTTTTAAAAACCCATAATACAGATAGTCAAGTCCTTGTGTTGCACTCTGCCAAGCCCTGAGGCAGAGCCCAGTGAAGTTATGGGATGGTACTTTATGATATCTTATATCTAATAGTGAAGTATACCTCAACCTGTAGATACTTAAATATGTGGATCAGGGCTATTTACAAAGAAGTCAGGTTTTTTCAACAGATTTGGGGGGGAGCTTCCCCCCAGCTTCAGAAAAATCTGGAACCTTTTAAAAATGGATGTGAGAATAGAAATCCACATCAAATGGAGGAGTGTTATCTGCACTTGTTCAATGCACACAATGTGCTTCTGCTGGCCTTTCCATTGCATGCTGAAGATGTTGGAGAAGGGGGGAGCTGCCTCCACTTGAGCTATACAGGTGCAGGCAAGCAGAGGAAGGGTACAAGCACTGTGGGAGAGCCTCTGGCATTTTGCTCAGAACTGGGAGGAGGTGGAGGAGGTGGGCTTCACTGCTGGAAATGGTGAACACATTTTCTCTCCTCCCCCCAGTTTTTCCTGGCTTGCTTGTCTTTCTGCCACCTCATTGCTCATAGTGTCTCCCCCCCTGCCGTGTGTATGTGGGGGGGGGAGTACCAGGGAGAAAGAAGTCACCACTGCCGCCACACACACTGTCCCACAGCAAAGTTGTAAGCAGTCAGGAAAAAGGATTTGCAGGTTTCCCCTGTAGCTGGAGGGAAGTGGGAGAAGGAGGTATTGTGGTTTGCTCCCCCCTGCAGGATTTAAAGCAACCACCTTGAGGATCTGAGAATGAGTCCCGAAGTCTGAATTTCAGGACTGAACCTTGGCAACCCTAATAAAGTAAAATAAAATATGCAAGACTTTCTCTTCTGACAATTAGATAGTTTCTGTTTATTAAATGTAAGTTATCTCAATTTATCAATCTCTATAAAATGATCCCAGTTATGTAGATATTTGCAGCACGAATTATAAGATTTTTTCCAGTTTTCAGAGGTCACAAAATACCTGTAGTATGCTGTACCATCCACATTAGCTACCATAATGGGTTTCTGACTGTGTGGTACAATGTGACATCCAGTTTATAAGATTATGCATGGGAGTTTATAAGATTATGCATCCAGTTTATAAGATTATGCATCCAGTTTATAAGATTATGCATGGGGCAGTATTCAGTGTGTGTGTGTCACTTCAGATCACACAAATTATGTCTTCCTAAATGATAATTTTTGGTAAAGTTATGTTATGTTCACTTAAGCCAATGGAATCTCCTGAATCCCTCTTTCTGTATTGTGCAGAGTTTTTGGACACTTCAGCCATCGCTCAGAGTGGCAACTGGTGAAAGTAGATTACAAGTCAATTTTTGACAGAAGGTGTGCTGAAGGTGACTACCGACCCTGGCAGCTTCATAGCCAGGTGAGGAGTCTGAGAGTTGGATCTGCATTGCGGTGTTAATTTTCTGATTGAAGATAAAGCTCTGTTCATTCTAATGTATTGGTTCAGAATTCAATGAATTAGCTTCCCATAGAGTTCTATGCAAATTAAATTGTTTCCAATGAGCCCTTAAGGTGTTTCTTAAAGGAACAGCTAACTAGTAACAGAGAGTATGACCTTGGGGTTTATCTAATACTTTCTGTTACAAGTCATTCAGATACATGTAGCCCTGTGGAAAGTTTTGCATTGCTCTTCTTTATGGCATAAAAAATCCTAGTAAGTATTTTCTGAAATAAGTGAAATTCCTTGTTGCTATGCAAACAGAGGCCAAAATGTGTATATTTTCTATACTTTAGGGGTAAACCTGATCATTGTGGCACGTCAAAATAATGTTTTTTTTTTCCTCCCAAATCAGGGAGAAGCATGTATCATGGGAGCAAAAAGGATCTACAAGAAGCGTAAGTCTGAGAAGAAATGCATGCAGGGAAAATATGCTGGAGCTATGACATCTGAACCATGTGTTTGCACAGAGGCAGACTTTGATTGGTAAGTAGAGCTTAAAAATATGGTTGAAAGGAGAGCTGTAGCAAGGCTATAACTAATATCCTGGCTGTGTCTCCATCGGCACTGAAAGCACTAACACCATCACTTCATTTCAGAAAAGTTTTCCCCCCCTAATAACTTCATCACTGTAAAATAAACAGAAATTAAACTTCTGCCTGTAATCAGTACAGGTGAGTAGGCTGAAACTAGCGGAAACCGCTGAGGCATAGTAACAGCTCAAGTGAACCCTGCCTGGCTCCCCTTACCCTCAGCTGGGCATCTGCCATAGGACCAGGTGGTCAGTCACGCTTTGACTTGAATGAAGCTTCCCTCATGTCTGCTACAGCCTGGAAACTTATCTCTGCCTTGTGTACTTCTTAGCCTTTGTCTGAAATCTGGTGGGCAATTTAAAAGGGCAGGAAAGGCTGGGAAACTAAGGATAACAAGGCATCGGAGAAAGATTGAGAAATATTTTAATGAGAGGCACTTAGAATAAAGTTCTGGAGACAGAAAGCAGCTTGGTGTTGATAGAAGAGATCTGTCTTGAAAGGATACAGGAGAAAAGGTCGAGTAGCTAATATTTAAAAATACTAATAATTATGCTAATCACAAAAGTAGATGCTAGGGTTTGTATTTCAAAAATTATTTTTGCAATTCCGTATCATAAACTCAGATATTCATATCAGAAACTCATTTTTATTAAATATTGGAAGTATTGTTGTCCTTTCAGAAAGTTTTTTTGGGGGGATCCGTGCTAATAAATAACAGAACAGTATTCCCAGTTTAGGAGCTGCGGTGGCTCAAGTGGTTAAGACGCTGAACTGCAGGCTGTGGAAGGTCAGTAGTTCAGCAGTTTGAGACCCGGGTGCCGCAAGACGGAGTGAGCTCCCGTCTCTAGTTCCAGCTCCTGCCAACCTAGCAGTTCAAAAGCAAGAAATTGCAAGTAGATAAATAGGTACCACTTTGGTGGGAAGGTAACAGCGTTCCGTGCGCCTTGGTGTTTTGTCATGCCGGCCACATGACCACAGAAACGTCTTCGGACAGCGCTGGCTCTTCGGCTTTGAAACAGAGATGAGCATCGCAACCCTAGAGTCGGATTCGACTGGCTTTCGAGCAAGGGAACCTTTACCTTTACCTTTTTATTCCCAGTTTAAAGAAAACAATTATCATGCCTTTTCTGAGCAAAAAGGAAATTAAAATGATAACTTTAAGTGCTTCCCCCTCTGGGGCAGTAGTAGTAGGGAGGGAGGGAGGGAGGGAGAAAGAAGAAGCCTGTCCCAGCCCCCAGCTGGTCCATGGTGCACCAACTCTTTAAACTTGAAATGGTCGTTGTCTCAATGGGTGGTCTCAATGACTTCCAGAGTCTGGAGATAAAAGTTCATTTGGTTGGTGCATGGGAAAGAAAGAAGAAGATGAGGATATGGGGACTTCTGAGAGGAAGAAAAGAGGAACTAGTGTGGAAAGGGTGATACAGGGGAAAGTGAGGTACCCCCTGCAAGTCCCTGTGGGTTTCCTACTGTGCAGCTGGGCCTAGTTGCCAGTACTGCAAAACTCAGCCATAGTTTTCTTAGGCAGAGACTTCCAGGGGGAGTGAAAGAGGGAAAGCTGAAGATCAGGGGGCAGATGGAGGTAGGTTGTCTGGTGAGAAGGAAGCAGGAAAAGGGAGAGACTATGGTAGTTTTCAAAGAGGAGAAAGAAGTGGGTGAGGGGAAACGGGATGCCCCCACAGGTCTTTGTGGGTGTAAATTATCCTGTGCATCCATTGTCAGACCCTCCAAAATCATAATGATATGGTCCATCAACTAGCAGAAATGCTGAGATTCTTTAAGCCCTTCTCTTTCATTTTGCTTTGAGCTCTGCAGGGAAGAGGAAACACAACATTTTCTGTTCTTGGTTGCTACTCTTTGCACCATTCAGCGGGCAACCTTTAAAAACCTGATCCCAGTGGGATGAATCTGATATCATCAGAGTCAAACCTATGTCCTTTTGCTTTTCTTTAGCTTGGTTACAGAGTGGGTAACAACAACACCATTCTAAGACAAATACAGTCTTAAATTATTTTTTTAAGTAATGACCACATGTTACAAACTAAACATACTTAAAATACTGTAAAGTTCGATTTGTTGAGAGTGGACAGAAGTCAAAGATTTCAATTATTTCCAACCATGTCACCAAAATCACTGTTTATATTAGAGACTGAAAACTGATGATCTCTGAATGATACTTGGAAGAATGGGTAAGTAAGAGAACAGCTAGCAAAGGAGTAAGGGGCTGCAGTGAGATTAGATTTGCATGCATTGCCCATATCTTACTACCAGGGGGCAATGGTGTTCCAGGAATGATTCTTTCAGTGGCGCTGGTCTACCCAGCCCTAAGGACAATATTTCCTAGCAACTGCCTAGAAACTAGATTGTATTTATTCAAGTAGTAAATGGATTACCGGGTGACACATGTGTTATTAAAACATTTATTTACCGATATTCCTTACGCTTTGCTGCAGCACGCACAGTATCATCACCCTAGCAGCAGATCAAGGCTTTTATTCTATACAAAGAAAAATAATTTTTAAAAAAGCACCCTTGGTCACTCAGTCTGGATGCTTGGTTGGCAGCAAGTATGATTTCATAATGTTTTATTAACATCCTGTCTTGCTTTGTTGAGGCAAAATTTGAGAATACATGTTTATGTGAGGGCTGAAAAGACCTTTCTTTACAGTCTAAACTCCACTCCTGCTCTGCCATACCAGTTCCATTCTCCAGACTCATAGCCTGAGTTCATGCATTACTTCCGCTGTTTGTGGAATAGCAGAACAGCAGGCCCTTCTGTTCACCATGCAGATGATGAAATATATGAGTTGGGTCCTCCACATAAATGCCACATCATGCAGGAGTTCTGTATATGCAGTTTGTACCCCCCCCTCCTTTGATGTAGGGAGATTGCACAAACAGGGTCCCTTTGAACATAGGTGTTATCATGGGATCCCAGATTTTCTGTGTGGTAGAGGAAGGGTGTGCACCACACATTAATCATGCAGATACTGCAGGTGATGCATGAATTAGAGCACTATAATCAAAACCACATTCTCACTGCCAAAATATAGGAATCAATGTGCAACTTCTATACTGGCATCACTGATTGCAAAATGGTGTGTAAGCTTTTTATCAAACTGATCTGGATTTTGTTACTAAAATAAAGTGTATTCTACATATGATGCAAAATCAAGCCTTAGACACTGTTACGTGTATGAGTCTTCATGGGATGTTTGAGTTTGCAACACTCCAGAGAGGGCAGTTGTATGACCGTGTATCATTGCAGGGGAGCCAAACACTAGCCAGTGCAAACCTTGATCAAATTGTCATTAGAGCAGGAAGCTCAGGTCTTCATGCAGAGCCTGTCATCAGTTTTGCTTGATATGCCAACTATAATCTGGCTATTATGATCCATGTTAGATTACTATAATGTGTGTTATGTGGTGCTGCCTTTGTCAACTGTCTGGAAAGTTAGTTGGTCCAAAGTTCGGTAGCCAAGCTATTGTCAGAGATCATATCCCCCCACCCCACCCCACCACCATTGAAAGAACTGCACTGGCTGCCCATATATTTCTGGACACAGTTCCAAGACATTTAAGGCCCTAAGCAGCTTGGGCTAGGAGTACTTGAAGGACCACATCTTACTATACAGTCCAGCCCACCAGTTAAGATACTGTTCTCAAGCCCTGCTCTTTTCCCTTGCCCACAGAGGTGAGAGAGGTGGCATCAAGTTTGCACTTCAGCCTGCCACAGAATGCAGGTTGTTTGTACCAGTTTCAGGCACCGTTGCCTGGCTGCAGTGTGCTGCACATCAATGCAGTCAGTTCCCATGCTCAGATATCAAAGGCAGGTTTATCCTTCGCTGCTCAAGTTGATGCTAATGCTTGTTGATTGCAAGGCAGCCTGTTGACCCTACAGGTAGGCAGCAATTTGTCGCTATCATCAGAGCTCTGTGTGCATCAGAGAGGAGACAAGAAGTTCATTAGATTACAGGTCTGCAAGGTGAAAGAATATGCTAATGCCTCTCTAGTGAACTGCATTAAGGATCTGCTTGTGTCTGCATATTTGTATGTATATATTTGTATGAGAGTGAGATGAGAGCAGGAAAAAAACAACAACTTTTCAGTGAAAAGTCTCCATAAATGGTTTTGGGTATATCTGTGGACACTTAATACTAGGAAAACATAGCATTGACACCTAATTTACCATAGTGGCTAATGTGCAGTGGCATAAGATGGCAGATCCACTTTCAGCTGTGCTTTGCGTAAAGGATGTGGTTTGATTTAAACAAACAAACAAAAAAAGGATGCACAGATGAGGAATGTGAAAGCTTCTGGGAATCCCTCCCCTTAGAAAGTTTTCTTTCATCCAGGCTCTCTTTTCTGTTAGTGGAGTCTGGCTGAAGAAAATTGTGACATCACAGGACAGACTTCAAGGAGATGTTTTATGGGGGAGGGGAGTTACAGAATCATAGAATCACAGAGTTGGAAGGGGCCATACAGCCCATCTAGTCCAACCCCCTGCTCAATGCAGGATCAACCTAGAGCATCCCTAACAACTGTTTGTCCAGCTGCTGCTTAAAGACTGCCAGTGAGGGGGAGCTCACCACCTCCCTAGGTAGCTTATTCCACTGTTGAACAACTCTTACTGTAAAAAAGTTTTCTGTAATATCCAGCCGGTACCTTCCTGTCCTTAATTTAAACACAGTATTGTGAGTCCTATCCTCTGCTGCCAACAGGAACAGCTCCCTGCCCTCCTCTAAGTGACAGCCCTTCAAATACTCAAAGAAAGCTATCATGTTCCCCCTCAACCTCCTCTTTTCCAAACTAAACACTCCCAGGTCCCTCAGTTTTCCTCATAGGGCTTGGTCTCCAGGCCCCTGATCATTCTCGTCAGTCTCCTCTGCACACGCTCCATTCTGTCCACATCCTTTATGAAGTGAGGCCTCCAGAGCTGTACACAATACTCCAGGTA